TATATCTCGTGAGATACGGGAGCTGATGGCATAGTGGGTTAGGCATTGGGCTCCTACCCAGTCAGCAGCTCCCTCTACCAGGTGTTCTATGGGAGAGAGACGAGGCTTTCTGCTTCTTGAAGATTCACAGCTTTGCAAGCCCCAATGGACAGTTCCACTCCCTCCCACAGGGCCACTGGGAGTTGGAATTGACAGTAATGGGTTTGGATACCCTGAGATACTGAGACACTTGTTCTCCTTCCCCTGAGAGTGTCCCATCTTTGCCACCCGAGGGCACTGTTGCTCTTGAAATGGGAGCCACATGGGCCTTGCTGCCTTCCCTTGGTTCCTAGTTTGCTCCTAAGGGCGCTAACTTTTCTATGAGTCTCAATCAACCGATGGAGGATGGCAGTGGCTATGGAGTTTCTTATATATGGTTGCCCCAAATCCCTGCCACCTTCTTTTAAAAGAGAGCCATCATTTTCAAATAAATATTTCTAGTTCAAGTTGTTACCTTTTAAAACCCTAGGCAGTAACGTCGTTTGGACTGCTGACAGTCTTGTAAGAGAAAAGAATGGTTGTCAAAAGGGAAATGTCATGGAGAATTTTTAAGTGAGCCTTTTTCTAATCCCTTCCAGCTTTGTCCACCATGGAACCATCCTGGACTGCGAGGACCAAGACTGGGACTTCTCCATGAATCTGAATGTCCGCAGCATGTACCTGATGATCAGGGCATTCCTTCCGAAAGTAAGATGGTCAATCCGACTGGGAGAAGTACCGCAGTAGGTCCCCATCCTGGGTACCCAGAAAGGTCCCCACATGTGCTGTCGATGAATAATAGGCGGCATGAACTGAACATTTATGTCAATTGACAATAACGAATCTAACTACTAACGTGGGTTGAACAGCCGTGCCTTGGGATTTTACAAAAATGAACATTATGGTTTAGTGCGCAGCTGGTAACTGAAGGGTGCGCAATCCGACTACTCGTGGGTGCTTTGTGGAGAAAAGCCCCACTCATCTGTCGCTGTGAAGGTCATTGCTTATAAACCCCTGTAGGGCACTTTTACTCCGTCCTCTGGGGCCCCACCGACTCAGATTGAACGCTACAGCACACACAGTGCCATTCTTCAGCTGAGGAAAGGTTAGCATGTACTTTCTGTGTGCCAGGCTCTGTTCTAGGCGCAGGAAGCAGCAGCGAGGTAAAGAAAGTCCCTCTATGAGGGGGATTGCACTGTGGAGGGGTGAGACAAGATACGAAGTACTCAAAAATATGATGTGTGGCCTGGTTCTGAGTTCTATGAGCAGAAATAAGCTCAGCTATCAGTGAGGTTCTGCCAACAGTGAAGACATCTATCTTGCAAGAAGTACAGCCAGAGTGCTCCTTAGCGGCAAGGATGGCACGATTTCATCTCCTGTACCTTGGACATGCTGTCAAGAGAGACCAGTCCCTAGAGAAGAACATCGTGTTTGGTTGTGTGTGTGTGTGTGTGTGTGTTGGGTGGGGGGGATTGTAAGAGAGAAAAGCCCTGGACAAAATGGGTTGATCCAGTGGCTGGAACAATGGGCTCAAACACAGGAATAATTGTGAGGGTGATGAGGGACCAGACAGGATTCCCCCTGTTGTGCCTAGGGTCGCGATGAATCAGAATGGATTCGATGACACCTAACAATTGCAGCAGCCGCAGTGAGGTCAGAGGAACCTTTGTGAGATTTTCAGACATCTGTGAACTAGCCATTACTGTACCTGAGGAGAAACTCCAGGCGTAGGGCCCAGCTCAGTAAGGTCGGTGCTATTGTTGGTTCCACCCGGCCTCTACACCCCTACCCCCACCCCTCCCACACACCATAGAGGATGAACCTGAAAGGTTAGATCTCTACCAAGGTCACAAGTGCAGCACTGGATCCAGTGTCCGTATGGAGTCACAGACCCAGAGGACTAGCGTGCTCCATTGCTGCTCTCTCCCCTGACCATTCTCTTCCCCGTCCTGGGTTGAGCTGACCCATAGTGGCTCTGGAGACGTAAGGGGCAGTGTGTGCTAGAGAGGGCATTCCTTCCAAGCCTGCTGTTCTTGATGCTCTTGTTAGCTGCTTACTAGCTGAGCCACCACTCAAAGCAGCCCCGTGTGCCACGGAAAGAAAGAAACGCTGCCCTGACTGGTGCCGTCGAGGAGAGACCGCTGATCAGACCATGTGTTTCCCAGGCTTCCATTGACTGATTTTCTGGAGGAAATCACTGGATTTTCTTCCTATTTCTTCTTCTTCTGGAGGGCCCACTGACAGCTGTACAAGCCTCCACTGACAGGCAGGGGTTGGATGCACAGGAGCGGAACCGGGGATCCAGCACAGAAGGAGAGAGTTCCATAACTGTACCCCTTGGATTTTCAAACTTCACCCAGAAACTCATCGGTGATTTTATTTTACAGACAAGCATTAAGCACCCTTAGGTTTATAAGGAATCACTATAGGTAGACCCAGTGGCTTCCTGGATTATATGTTGGGCTGCTAACCACGAGGTCGGCAGGTCAAAACCACCAGCTTCTCAGAGGGAGAAATATGAAGTGTTATGGTCTTGGAAACCCACAGGGCTGATTCTACTGTGTCCTGTCGGGTGGCTGAGTCAGAACCGACTCGATGGCAGCGAGGTTGAGGTGGTGGGTGCTGTAAGTAAAGCAGCAGTGGTTAAGCACTCAGCTGATAACCAGAAGGTCTGTGGTTCAAATCCACACCAGCTACTCTGTGAGAGAAAAACCAGGGAGTAAATTTTCATAACTGTCTCCAGCTTTGGAAACCCCATGGGGCAGTTCTTTGCCCTAGAAGGTCACTAACACTTGGTTTGGATTTGTTGGTGATGTTCTGTTTTTAGGTATACTGGGAGATGTAAGTATGAGTAGCATACAGCCCTGACTTCAAATGCATTTAAATGGAAGGGAGCTGACTAAAGCCAGCTCTAAGTCTGTACATTGGAATCCTCATGAAATACACTCTTACTTCTTACCAAGGGTCCCATTTACATTCATTGTGCCCCCATAGGACAGGGTAAAACTGCCCCCAGGGCATTCGAGGACTATCTCTGTATAGGATAGAGAGCCCTGTCGTTCTCCCAAGGAGCAACTGGTGGTTTCAAACAGCCGACCTGGTGGTTAGCAGCCCAACGTGTAACCACTGTGCAGGCGAGCCACTTCCCTTCCCTTGAGGCTGGATTGGAAGACTGGTCCATTGAATGCTGCCCACCCAGGGCAGGAGGACAGCTTCGTGTATGGTGTGACCAGACTTGACATTTTCCCATGGTGTTTATAACATTAGGAAGAAAACTAGAGAAATGGCTTTGTTAGTTATTAGATTTTTGAAAATATCTTTGTCAACCTTTTTAGTACCTAAAAGGAATCTCTTTGTGACTGCTGAGTGTCCTCTGCTAAGAGTCAGGGCTGATTCAATGGCTGTAGTGACGAGACTTGCCGGTTTGAGTTGGTCAGAATCTCTACCACCTGGAACTTGAATGTGTGCGCATTTTGGTTTTGGCCTTTTGCAACAGTATATATATTGGTACATAATTCACATACCATATAATTCAATGGTTTAAGTATATTAAAAATAATTGTGTAATCTTGATCATGTTTTTGTGGGAGAAGTGGAAGACAGCTCTGGTCGCTCGGGTATGATTACTGCACATCTGTGAAGCTCCTTTGCAAAAACCACGCTGCTTCATTTCAGCAGTGTTTTAAGCATCCCTGGTGGCACTGTGGGTTAAGCGCTGCCTGCTAACCACCAAGTCAATGGTCCAAACCCACCAGCCACTTTGGGGGAGTAAGATTTACAATCTCAGAACTTCCAGGTAAGGTCACGCTGAGCCAGATTCATCTCCATGGCAGTGGGATTGGCTTTGATTTTGTTTTTTACCCAGAGATCAGGTAAGCAGGTGTGGGGACAGGAGAGCTGATGTCTATTTAGACTTGTAAGTAAGTGTTGACTTCTAAAAATCAGACTCTGATTTACAAACTGGTGGATTTGGCTGTGATTTTTCAAGCATCTAAACAGTAATCTGAGCCAGTAGCATCCATTAGTAAATATCCCCAGCAGTGTTAATGGCAGGGATGGGGGATCACAAGAGCCAGTGCCACCTGTGTAACGTGACTGAGCAGCCTGACTGCACTTCCCGGTCTCAGGCGCCCTAGGAGATTCCCCCTCTGCTCTCAAACTGGTGACAAGTTATACAAGCCCTGTAAGCTGAAATTGTCTAGGATCCTCTGAGTCATTAGCCATGATACACACAGGCCACGTTAAAACTTTCCAGGGGAAGCCAGGATTTGGTATCTGGGCAGCTCTGAAAGGTCAGGTGGTTAAAAACATAGGATCACTTCTAGGAAACTTTTGTTCATAGAGAAAAAGACAGAAAACCATCCCCAAACTGGAAGACCAGGCAAAAATGCAGAGAACAAGTCGATATCACTCTAAGTTCAAGATGTCAATGCGGACTCCAAGATCCGCTGAAAAAAAAGATCCATCTGACAAGGATCTGAGATTCTCTTTGTTTGTTCTTCCTTCCTTCTTTTCTCGTTCTTTTCTTTTTGCTTTTCCTTCTGGCTGTATCCTCAGCACTTAGAAGCATCCCTAGCGCACAAACATTGGCTGAGTAAATAAGCCAGGGTGGAGTGTTAGTCAAGACAGAGAGCAGGCATGGGCTCCCGGGAGCTCCAAGTCAGTGGGAGCAGAAGAGCTGGTCATGCCAGGAAGAACTGGACACAGCTAGAGGGACTCCGCGGAGCCCTCTCTACACCGGCCCCACTTTATGTTAGAATTAAGCCCTGGGACTCTGAGGAATCAATCTCATAGACTCTGAGAGAGAATATATTGAAAGCCTAATGTTAAGGCTGTTCTGTTTCCCTCATCTGTACTATGGGCAATGACACCGTTGAGGTCAATATTGGCTTCTCCCTTGCTGGACGTGGTTAGTCACCCCAGTCTCTCTTTGTAGCCTGTTAATCCATCTACCATAATGCCTTACAGGTATTTTAGACTCTCTGCTGCTCGGTGCAATTAGTAGGTTAGTATCAAGACAGAAAACAAGAAGACCGCCCAGCCCTGAATTCATGACTTGTTGACTCTCTCCCTTCATCAGCTTCTGTTTCTGAAAGCTGCTGAAGGGTCTCAGGCCACCAAGAGTGGTATTTCGTCATGTGGACACTTTACTGTAAAAAATGTCATGGAGACCACATCTAACCTGCTTGGGGTGGAGGAGAATCCAGTTCCACACCAGTCGAAGGCCACAAGGCAGAGTTCAGACATTCTTCCACCCCCCATCCTTCTTTATTCTGACACCAACTGTTAGCTCCCAGGACACTCTGCTTCTCTGCTGGGTTCAGTAATGTGCTACACTGGCCACACAGAATTCACAGACAATACTCAAGGCCGCGGGGGCTTATGAGGGAAGCCAACAGGTTACAAAACAGGAGGGGTACAGTTCTATTGTCTGCAACGCCTCTTCTAAACTGTGTCACGTCTCTCTCGAGTCCTCTGCATTTCAGCACACAGTCCCTGGGTCTCTGCCCACCCCGCCTCAGGGTTGTGGGATTGCCCCTCTGCTCTCTGTCATCAGCTGGGAGGGCCTCTGCTGCCTCTGCCCCTCTGGGTAGGGGTCTCGTGTGCTCTCCACTCGTGGCTCTTCTGTCTTCATGGCTGAGGGACTGTCCCCCTTCCTGCTTGTTGAATGGCTCACTTCACACCTGGTGCAGTGGCAGAACTGGCCAATCCTGCTACGTGTTTCATACACTCTATTTGCATGGTTTCACCCAATCATTTACGGATAGAAGAGCCATACCCCGTCATTTCACTTCACCCCAACTACCCATAAAGATGCCTTTCTTTTACAAATACTTTCTTTACTCTCGTTTTATGAGCTCATCGTCCCTGGTTTTCCTGCTTCTGCACTTTGTTTCATCATCTTCTATTTTCTCAGCAATCATTTGAACACTTCTTTACCCTCTTCTACTCTACCGCGTTCTCTCTTTTCTTTCTGGACATATCCACGCTAGCACCTTAAAAAAAGTTTTATTGTCACATAATCCACATATCATACAAGTCAGTACTTTAATCATACCAAGAATAGTTGTACAATCATTACCACGATTTTAGAACATTTCCTCTTTCTTGACCTCATTGTTATTGGCTCCCCCTTTCTCCCTAACCTTTCCTTGCCATAGCCCCAAGAAATGATTAATCCAGTTACTGTTTCAATAGATTTACCTACCCTGGATCTGGATTTCCTATGCAGTAAAACACACACACACAAACACACACACTCACACACAAACAGTAAAACAGAGAACCTCAATCGAAAAGAAAGTAGAAAATACTAAACGTTAGAACAAATTTACCACCTGGCATATAAAGTGGGAACTAAGAGCCCATTAGGCAAGAATTCTCTCAACTTCCTGCCCCTGCCCCCCAAATAGTCATGTGTGCACACACCTTTGCATATACATATATTCTTGTCTAAACAGGGGTACCTGTTCTAATTAAGAAAGGAAAAGTTCATTTTTAAACATGCTTAAGCCATAGTGCCCTTTTCCATTTATGTTTTTGTGTGGTATGGGGACGAATATCTGCATTTTAAACCACAATCTCAGGAGATCCTCATTCATCAGATGTTCATACCACATACCCTGTCTTGGTGCTGGGGTCCAGTGGTGAAAAATCAGCAAAAGGCCCCGATTTGAAGATGTGCACCTGCTCGTGAGAGGATCCTGGAGCTGATGTCTTGGGTTCGCCCTGGTCTCATGGAGCCTTTAGCAAGTCCTGCTCGTCCTACCTGGCTCTGCCTTCCACGGTCACGCACAGACAGTGCTGCTGCCTCAGCCCCTTGCCGTCTGTCCTTAAGTCGCCGCCCCAAGACTGCATTCTCAGCGTGCACAGCACGGACCTCGGTCATCCTCAAGCTCAGCACGTCGCTCCGCTGCTCTCAGCCCTTGCGCGTCACTGCCCCGTAGGGGGTACAGGTCATGGGAGGTAACGCGTCGGAGGAGGGACACCAAAATGACTGTTGATAAAATGTCAGTGCAGGGTTTCAGAACAAACTTGTGATGGATTGTGAAAATAGCAACGGAAACACTTTCTGTAAGTCCGCTTCCAGGCATCACCATACCAACAAGGCTGACCCTCTCCGGTGATTGACATTTTGAACCTTCTGTCGCCTCCACTCAGAGCTGTCCACAGTCACCTGTTCCAGGGACGCTTTGAATCACACAGCTGTCGGCGTCAGCACGCCAAACGAGCCCTGTGGTTTCTGTGGTTGCCAGTGGTTGCTTGGTGTTTCAGTGGCTGATTTTACCAAATTCCCTATGTTCTAGCCACAATATTGTGGTAGTTCGTATTTCTGAACCTATATCGATGGCCTTCATAAATGCCGTAGTAATGAAGCAAGGAGCAAACTCACTAAAGGCTTCCGCTCAGGTACTAATAATGTTGCAACGAAAAATGCTAACAATGTTGTAACTAAAAATGCTGTCATTGGTGTGGAAAGATTTGACAAAGCAGTTTTGTTGTTGATATCCATGTAATTGAAGAAAGTATACATTTAAGCAACTTCCAATTACATATCACAGTGTTTTGTGAGTAAAATTTAAAATAAACGTGACTAAAGTGTTTATAGACGAGCTGGTGTGGGAGGAGGGCCATGGACAGGGGTGACACCATAAGATACCACGCCAGGGGACGCCAACCTAATGATGCACTCCTGAGACCCAAGACTTCATTGGCCTGGAGCCACTGTGGTGTAATGTGTAAGCATGGGGCTGCTAATCTAAAGGTTACTGGTTCAAACCCGCCCAGTGGCTCCACAAGAGAAAGCCCTGATGATGTGGGTCCATAAAGGTCAAAGTTGAGAAACCCTGGTGAAGCAGTTCTTGTCCGGCACACAACGTTACTGTGTGTCAGAATCACCTGACTCCACCGGCAGCAACTGTTTCCATCCTGCAGAGTGAAATTGTTTCTTCTCTGTATTTGTTTTGGCAGATGCTCGCTCAGAAATCGGGCAACATTATCAACATGTCCTCCGTGGCTTCCAGCATTAAAGGTAGGTCTGTCTTCCTTGATGGAACAGGATGGTGATACTCAGACATCTTTATGTACCCTGTTTTTTAAACTGTATGTGGAGTTCTGTATTTTAAACTACACTCTCAGAGGTTATCATTCCTCAGAGAGTCAAACCCTGTACCCTGTCTAGGTGCTGGGGATGGTGGGAAAAACAGCCAAAGCTCCCGAATTGAAGATGTTCACTTCCTAGTGAAGGAATTCTGTAGATCTTCCCGGGGAACAATGCCCTAGGTACACGAGGTCTTTCATTATTAGACCTTGGACGTGAACCTTTCATAGAAAATTAGTCATCAAATTACATTCCGAAATTGTGTTTTCCTGGATTCCTCTAGTGGATGTGAAAATGAAAACTGAATTCGGAGAAGTAAACAGTTCCTGTTTAATTCATCAGAAAAGGTCTCTTGAACACCTAGTATGTGCATCTGCCCCAAAGAGTTTACAGGCCAAGCGCTGGGAGACCAGTCAACAAGCATGAGTGTTGTGAGCGAGCATGGCGACAGCCCTCCCACAAGGCACTGTCAGCTGCCTGGCGAACCCAGCGCTGCCTGTGGGCTGGAAGAATGCTTCCTGAAGACATCTAGGCCCTAGATGAGAAGTCGCGGGGCGGGGACGAATGTGCCAAGCAGGGACAATACGCAGATCTCCCTGTGGCTGCCTTATCCAAAGTAGCTTCCCCTGTGACTAGCATTCCTCCTCTGTGCCAGGACACACCGGCAAACTGCGCATCAGAAGCACAGAAACAAGAGCTCGCTCGCTTGCCTTTTGTGTTTCATGCTTTTATTTCCCCTCGGTTTCTTTTGGAGTCTGCCTAAAGGTGACGCCTACTGATGACAGCCCATGACCACCACTTTGTCTAAAGGGCAGCACCTCAGTGGACGCAATCCTTAAGCACTTGGCTGCCTACCCAAAGGTTGGCGGTTTGAACCCACACCAAGGCTCCAGGGGAGCAAGTCTTGACAATCGGCTCTCGTAAACATTATAGCCACGAAAAGCCTGTGGGCCCGTTCACGCCCTGGGGTAGTTCCACATTCAAAAGAAGATCACCTGTGTCCTCCTTCCAATGACCTCGCTGCTCACGCCTTGTCCCCCGCTCAGGCGTCGTGAACAGGTGTGTGTACAGCACGTCCAAGGCTGCCGTGATCGGCCTCACAAAGTCCGTGGCTGCAGACTTCATCCAGCAGGGCATCAGGTGCAACTGTGTGTGTCCAGGTGAGTGACGCTTTAACTTAGGGGCTGTGCACCACCTAGCATCCAAGTTGGTCACAGGGAGAGATTGTACGTGTGCCACCTCTTGTATTGTCTTCTGTGATTGTGAAGAGTTCAAAAGAAAAAAAAGCCTGGCTGTATTAGTCACAGCTGAGTGCTCAGTGGGGGAAGAGAGCCTGAGTCATTGAGAAGGAGCTGGAGC